AGAATTCCATGTTCTGCTTTGCTTGTGTGCTCGGCTTTTACTTTCCCGATTAAACTGTCTTTATCTCAACCCACGAGTTTTCTCACTTTTACCCTTTCAATTCTGTCCCCTATCCCACTGCGGGGAGTGAGGGAGAAGCTGCGTGGGGCTGAGCTGCCTACTGGAGTTAAACCATGACAATGCTCCCCACAGAGAATTAGGAATGGGAATGCAGGAACTTCTGTAGCACAGCTGAAAGAATCTCCTGGGGGCACAGCACACTTCTTAACCCATCTCAGCTGGAGAGATGCTACCCTCTTTATCCACAAAGCTGCCTAGAGTCTGATGCTTTGGAAATCAGCACACGCGTCTTCGTCTAAATTCATACAAGGCAAATTTGAGGCAGTTCCTCAAATGAGACCAGGAAAAAGTTCAAAAACTGCCAGGATGCACAGACAAAACACAGTTAGCTGCAGCTTCACTCCACTAAAGCAAAGGAGCAAGAAGTGGCTGTAATTATTGGCTGCAAGTTTTTAAATCAGATTACTAGGAACCTCTTACTATTTTTAACAGCGAGCAGCAGCTTGGGTCGGTTGTTCCTCACCCCGATTGCAACTGCAGCTCTTCAGGCCACTTTTCACTCCTCCAAAATGGAGGAAGTACATTGCTGATGACGTGGGACAGGAGAGTAGGAAGGGCAAATCAAGGGAAAAGGAGCTAAAAAGTTGGCCCAATTGCCAAAAAGTGATGGAAAAAAAGACTTAAGAGGGACGGCCACTAAACTGGGTTCCTAAGTATTTGGCTTACACTCCCAGCGTCTGGATGACTTCTTTTTGATTTAGTTTGTATCTCTGAAAAACTGAAATAATGTTAATCCCCTTCCTTTGTAAAGTGTTATATAGGAGCTAAGGAAATACTATTAGGAAGTGAAATTGCAGCCTCACCCACTTGTACAGCCGTATGTACAAGGGGGAGGATAATATAAGGAAATATAAAAGTTACCGTGTCCCAGAAATAATACTGCAATCTCATTAAAGCCTGGGTCTCTCCTCCACTGCAGGGGAAGGCTGTTCGTGGATCAGTCACAGGATCTGCCACAGAAAAAACCATCACCTTGTTACCCCCTTGGAAAGCATCTCAAAGGCAGGGAACTTAAAATCTAGGGATGTTCAGCAGTAGAGATGTCTGCTTTGGGGACAGAAAAGATTGTGCCCTGGTCTGCCTTTAAAACAAGGGCAACATTAAACATAATAAAAATTAATAAGAGGATGTTTTCTGCCCAGCTGCAGGGCAGCTCCTCCCTGCAGGGAATTTACCTTCATTTGCTGTATGAGTGAACAGAAACTTACAATTCAAAGGGCAACCACCGCCTTTGGGAGGCCTCCATGTTGTGATTCTCAGTACGAGACATCTTGAAGTAGGATTTCACGGGAGCAACTGTCAAATTAAATTTTCCTACCCTTCTGTCCCAAATCCTCCATTGTAGGGATACAGCCTTCTTCCACCCCTGGAGCCAGAGGCTTTAGCTGGTCTGCCATCCGCAGGGTTGGCCGGACCTTCGACCCAGATTCCACAGCTTTTCGGAAATCGGTGTAGACATCGGGCAACCTGCACAGATTACAGCGCAGTCAGATCTCGTAGGATGGCTACCCTGTCCCTCCACAGGGCACCGCACAGCTTCCTCAGCTGCAAGGTTCGCTTTGAAGGCTGCAATCTCCTGAGTTCACATTTGTGATGCATGTTTGCACATCACCTGGCACAAAAGAGGTAGGTGGCCCTGGGGCTAGCAGTCCCAGGAAGTTCAGTCCTTCACCCAATTTCTTTCTGCTTCTGATGCAAATGATGCCTTTTCAATTTAAGGTGTGTCCTGATGGGGCAATCCATGAAGGTCAGATTTATCTCACCTAACTTCTGATTACCCACAAGGCTGACCTCAGTGTAAAAATTTGCAACCTCCTGCTGCCTTTTCAGTCAATAGAGAGAAACAGGCGTTTTTATGGCCTGACTCTTCTGCCCTATTTTATACATTTTCTATAGGATATCATCAATCACTCAGCTCCACCAATTACACCTCAAGTAACTATTGAGGAAGCCACGGAAGAGTCCACACGCAAAGGCTACTGTCAGTGGCAGCTGCATTTAGCCAGATGGGGTAATGGAGCAATCCAGTCCAATGTCACACGGACTCTGGACACTGCAGACTGAGTATCTAAACTGGGTTGGTGGACAGACAAAGATAAATCAGTTCCTCAATAAATGATCAAACAAATCCCTCGGGTTTATGCATTTTGGAGCATAAATCCTACTAGTACAGAGGGATGAACATACCCTTTCCCGTTAAGGTGTATGAACATGACAGCACTGTTCTATAAACGCAGACGGACTAATGGGTTCCTTCCCTGTGGGACTGGATGACCAACATCCCTCCTGAGCAGTTCACGGGAGTGAGAAACAAATGGGACAGTGAAAGAGGAAGTGATACCATGGAGCAGCCCACCTAGCAACAGGCCTGAAGGGAAGGTCGTCCCGATGATACAGCGTGGATGCCCAGAAGGTCTGGATCTTCACCCCGTGCTGACTACACACCTGACGCAGCCCCTTCTCCACATCCAGCTCCTCCTGCGTGGCCTAGGGAAAACAAAATGCATTGAGGCCATGGCTGCACAGCCTCAGCTCCTGCATGCACACAAACCCTGGTCCCTGGTCTTGCCCTCCTCCCTCATCTCCACATTTAGCTTAATCCCTCTAGAGAGAGGTGCACACAGACAATCTCTGAGTATTTCCCTCTGCCAAACCTAACGAGTGTTTCACTCTCCATTAGTAGTCCCAATGACTGAATAAAGGACTCTGATGTAGGACATTGTAGATCTTTTAAGTTTACATGGACTGGAAAGGTGTCTGGACAAGTATGTGCAAAAGAAATCCACTGAGGTTTATTGAATATCAGGATAGCATTCCTGTTTCAGGAAGTCCTTGAGCCACAGATTCTTGGAGGCTGGGAACGTATTCAGGGGAAGTATGTTTACAGATTTGTCCTGCTCCTGTGGTCTTCTCTGAGCATCTGTTACTGGTCACTGTCAGGAAAAAGACTATGGAGTTAGATGGGGCCTTCTCTCTGATCCTCTGTGGTCGTCCTTTAGTGCTGCATGGAAGAAGGCACTATGGGGTGTGTAGGCTGTCAAGTTACAATGGTCTTAGGCCTGACAGCAGGAATACTTCTGAGGCCCAGACTCCACCAATACTGAGTGCATCTGTGCACATATACACATGTGTGTATGTGTACACAAAGCCTCCAGGCCCAGTGGTTTGGATCCAGAGCCCTCCATTGAATTCAGCGTGCTCCGGATCAAACCACTTAGTTCAGTGACAACAGGTCAGTGACAGACCAATCCCATCGGCAGTCTGGGACCAGACTCGTGTTTCATTCTTCCACACGAGTTGGTGGGCAACTGCCCACATACGGGTGCTGTCAACTCACCATGGGCCTTTCCTACACTCAATACAATATGCCCCCTGGCAGCTAGCTCCTTGTGCAAGGAAGGCGCCAGGAAAAGGCAGCTTGATGCAAACAGAAGGAGAAATGGACTCAGCTGATCTAAAATGCCAGTTGCTGGAAACTCCTCTTTCTCAAGACGCATCACTTGTAAGTGATCAATCACAAATGGCTGCTGTCATCCAGCAAGGACTCCCACTCAAGACACCTACACCATCCCCATCCCAGGAGCTAATCAGTTTCACCAAGGTTAACACCACCACAGACAAGAAAGGATCTGAACAAGAAACCTCCACAACCTGATTTTATCTTTCAAGAGAGTCACCCAAGTATTTCCCTTACCTCTTCATGGAAAGCCACGGCACTGACAGAGCCCAACTGAATAATCAGATCACGGACCACATCTTCTGGTTTCCCCTTCCTCACAACCAGAGTACTGCAAACACAAAATATTGGCCTGAATTAGGTTTGATGTTATTTATGTATGCAGGAGGCTCTAGTCCTGGCCCAGGCACTCATGCACTAGTTCTCTACGGAGCACGGACAGCATGTGGAGGCAGATAGACAGGATTTGACTAGACTACGTTTTTTAGGACCCACTGAACAGTTTGTAAGCTCTGGGGCTGAGTTTACGTCAAACACATTTTTATCATCCCGGATGCCTTAGAAAGGACGACTGGGCAGAAAGCCAGGCTGTTACCTAAAAGTAAATCTGTCAGATGTGTTCATCCTCACACACTGATGCTGATTCAAGAACTGATTCCTCTTTCAATCCCCTTCACAGGTAGTGGTGGCCTGTGAGCAGATCCCTCCCCATTTTCATGTGGGAGCATTCAGAGGAATTTTCCTCTGCATGTTCTGTGTTTGTAAAAGAGTCAACAAAACTTCCCTCCCACCTTGCAACCTCACCAACTGTCCAGCTGTGTACCTAGGGCACCAGACCAAAAGAGAAGCTGTGCTGAGAAAGTTGGTCAGAATTTCTTGAAGGGGTAATACAGTGTTTTTGCCAGAATAATTTAAAGCATAACTAAAAAGTTTCTTCAAAGACGGGCTGGGTCTGAAGAAGACAGCAGCAAGAGTTGCTGCTGAGAGCGCTGTTCCCCTTACTTCTCACAGAAAAGCAGAGACCAAGCTGCCTACAGTGAACACCACAGATTGGATGCGGAGATTTCTGTCTACCACTGCATTAAGAAGATACTTCATTGTTGTGGAAATGGAGCCCAGGTCTTAGTGTGGCTCTTCACAACCACACATCTCTCCCTGCAGGAGACCAATCTCTTATCAGCCACTGAAAACAGCACAGCAGCATTCAAGCAGCTTTGAATCTGCTCACTGCAGGGTGTGGGTGCAGATACCCACTGATCAGTTCTTTCAGTTTCCTACAACATCCACCATCTGGACGGTCTAAGCTGCACTGCAAACCCAGAGCCATTCCTCTTGTGTCTACTACCTGGGAGAAGACAGGCTGGCTGACAAATCTTCTGCTAAGCAAAGCCAGACGTCTACCTGGTCTGGTCTACCCCAGTTATGTTTTCTAAAGGCATAATGAAGGAGGAATCCCTGAAGACTCTTTTCCCACAGTGTAGCCTACCAAAGAGATTGAGTTTAGCGAGACAAAGCATGAACAATAACTCTCTAGTCTCACAAGCCAGGATCCATGTTGGTCTGTCTCAAGCCAACTCCTAGGTAAAACTCGCTAGGGACAAGGAAGGACGCATGCCACAGTGGCTAGTCAATGCCCATATCTTGGAAGATTGCCGTTCATGTCCCCATTCGGCAGGACTCTGGGCAAAAACCTCGAGGCTGACGCCCGTCAGTGGCATCCAAGCTCAAGAAAGCACAACCCCACACGGGACACAGCCTGGATGGCTCTTCGCTCCCTTGTGGATGCCTCAGCAGGTCATCTGAAGAAGGGTTACATGTGGGACCTTCCTGCACCTAACAGAAGGGCCGTGGCTCTGTGAAACGAGCCACCATCACAGCTCAGAGCATCTGACACGATTTGACTCACAGCACAAACATGCGTTGAAAAAGACAAAGGAAACAAAACCAGACGTGTTATTTGCACGGTGCTTTCTCAACTACCTTCCTTTTCTCTTGAGCGTTTCCCTTAGATCCTTCACGCTTTCCAGCAAAAACTTGAGCCGATGGGGCCCGGTACAGCTCAGAGCATCTGACACGATTTGACTCACAGCACAAACATGCGTTGAAAAAGACAAAGGAAACAAAACCAGACGTGTTATTTGCACGGTGCTTTCTCAACTACCTTCCTTTTCTCTTGAGCGTTTCCCTTAGATCCTTCACGCTTTCCAGCAAAAACTTGAGCCGATGGGGCCCGGTCTTGGGGAAGCCGTAGCAGCGGGTGCGCAGGGAGTGCCGCGGGTCGAAGCAGTAGAGAGGAACAACGAAATCGGCGCTGCCCTGAGCCCAGTGGAGCACCTGGAAGCACGGAGAGGGTCGCGGCAGCTCCCGCGGGCAGCCTG